ATGGACATAGTGCAGCGAATTAAAATACAGCGGCTCCGCTGGCTTGGTCATGTCGTTCGAATGTACACCGACGCTCCAGCTCTGAAAGTATTCAACTTGGAACCCGCTGGTGGTAGCAGAGGAAGAGGGAGGCCCCCACTGCGATGGAAAGATCAGGTGGAGAAGGACTTGGCTTCACTTGGCGTTTCCAATTGGCGTCAGTCGGCGCAGAGGTGAAACGACTGGCGTGCTTTGCTGAACTCGGCCAAAATCGCTTAGGCGGTTACAGCGCCAAAAAAGAAGAAGAAGAAGAAGGAATCAAATTCAAATGAAATTTCTTCTACGTCCAACTAACGTCATGGTCAGCTTATGGTATTTGAATATTCAAAATATTGAATTCGTTTTGGGTAAGTTATAAGCTTCCCAAAGTGTCGCAGTTTTGGTGTGTTCACCCTTTAGCTACGTTTTTAGGAAGTGTTTTATTGAAATCTTCCCATTTTCCCCTTGCTTCCAAAAACCAGCCCTGTGGGTGGGAGTGTCAAATTAAAAAAAAAAAGCTACTTACAAAACCTTTAATAATTGAATCATGGTCTCTATCATGATTCAATTATTAAAGGTTTTGTAAGTAGCTATTTTCTAAAATTTCACACTCCCACCCACAGAGATGGTTTTTGGAAGCAGGAGAAAAAGGAAACATGTTTGAAAAATTATGGAACTCTGATTAAAAAACGATAAATAAAAACATTTGGAGCTTACGTTTCTTTCGCGTTTATGTTTATGGCTCGGATTGCTTCGAATACGATAATTCGAATTCTTTGATATTGCACTTTTAGTGTTCTGGGGAGATTACGCCGACGTCAGAATATTAAACATTGGCTTACACAGTGGTTGTTGTTGTTGTTGTTGTAGCAGCAGTGCTCAACCCCCCAGATTATGTCATGTGTCGTCGTCTTCATCCTCCGACTCTGTAAGCCTGAGGCCGAGAAAGCGGGCAGCGACGATAGGCGCGGTCCAGAGCGCTTCTGGTGTCAGGGTCGTAGGGTTGGAGGTGCACGTGAAGAGGTGCTGGGTGTCGTGGGGACCCTGCCCACATGCGGGGCATGTGTTTGCCACTTGAGTGTTCAGCCGGGAGAGGTAGCTGTTAAGTCGGTGACACCACCCTGAACGGAGTTGCGCTAGGGTGCACCTGGTCTCTCTCGGCAGTTCCATTTCCTCCAAATCTATGGGCGGCGGTCGACCGCCTAGGACGATGTTGTCATTACGCGTGCTGAGGCTCGTTCTGACTGCATCGCTGTGTAGGCTGTTGAGCGCCGCTCTGTATGTTGCTGCATCGAATGGGTGGTCTACGTACGGCTGAATGTCTGCCTTCCAGTCGTACAGGTGTCGTCTCACGTGTCGTGGGGGCGGTTCGTTTCGAAGCAAGGCATTGTTGGGGTGATTTCCTCGATGACAGCCCCCGCGGTATTGCTTCGACAACATGGTGGTATGTTCTTTCACCGCCAGCATCTGGGTTTCTTCATGGAGGTGATGCTCGGACGGCATGAGATGACAACCTGTAGCCGTACGTAGAGCTGCTTTGTAGGTCGCGAGCAGAGTTTCTTTATTGGCTCCCCAGGTGCTGCCGGCTAGCGATTTAAGGACTTTGTTCCTGGCTCGGAGTTTGTTGCATGTGGCTGTGGCATGCGCGGAGAAGAAGAAGAGGCTATCGAATGTCACTCCCAGTATTTTAGGGTGATTAGTCGTCGGTAATTTGGCGCCATCGACGAAGACGTCCAGTTCTAGCCCCACCTCCTTGGTCCAGGTTGTAAAGAGTGTGGCGGTGGATTTAGCGGCATAGATTTGGAGGCTCCTTGCGGTGAAGAAATTGGAGAGATCGGTGAGGTAGTCGGTTATTTATTCGCAAAGTCTGTCGATGTTTGGTCCAGTTGCCATTATAGTGCAGTCATCAGCGTATCTTACCAAGTTTACTCCTGCTGGCGGCGGAGGGAGTTTGGCCATGTAGAGATTAAACAGTGTCGGGGAGAGTACGCTGCCTTGGGGGACCCCCTGTTTAATTCTACGCGGCTTAGACTTGGCGTTTCAGAATTCGACTGATGACTGACGAACACACAGATAGCCGGTTATCCACCGTTTTGTTTTGTTGCAGGTTTTTATATGCTCATACCATGTATTTGTTCGTTGACCAGGTTTCTAATGTCTCTATTGAGATCCCTTATGCGGGGATCCCCTGGATTAGCCTGGCGGATTCGATCACGCTCGTCTGCGAGTCCCGCCGCTTCAGTGGGAAAGCCTGGGCGGATTTTAGCGATCCGGCCGGCTGGTATGAAGCGTGCGGCTGCTGCGTTGATGATCCTGCGGATATTGCGCTCTGCTACGCGCGCGCATGATGGTAGCGGAAGAGCATTGAATTTGCGATCTGTGAATTCCGTGAAACCGTCCCAGTTCGCCTTCCGTGTGTTCATAAATGTCCGGTTCTCGGATGTTTTAAAATCTCTAGGCTGGTCTATCGCCACTACTATGGGCAGGTGGTTTGATGCGAGTGTGAGCAATGGTTGCCATCCAATGCAGTTTATCAGACCCCCGCTGGCTATAGTTATATCTGGCGAGCTGTAGCAGTCACCCGCGACCCTGGTGGGGCATCATCATTTACAGTGCAGAACGTGGAGTCGTCAATTTGCTCGGCGAGCGTTGTACCCCGCTGGTCATTGCCCAGATTGGAGTGCCAGAGTTCATGGTACGGATTGAAGTCACCTGGCACTACCCGGTTCACACCCTCTAATAGCGCACTTATGTTGGGGTGGTATCCCGCTGAGCAACTGGTGGCGGGTGGTATGTACACATTGACGATCTCCCGACTTGATGGCCAAGCCTTGACATTCATTGAATGTATCGTTGGTATCAGTTCGGGGGGTAATGAGCCGGTATTGAACCGCGTTATGCAATATGAAGGCGATGCCGCCTCCGGCGCCACGGGGGCGGTCTCTTCAGAGTACGCTGAACTCGTCCTGGCTCTGAAGGCTCGAGCCGGAGTGGAGTTTGGTCTCCTGGATCGCCGCGACTGAGATTTTATGCCTTCTCATGAAACCGACTATCTCAGCGATCTTACCTTGTAGTCCGTTGCAATTGAACTGCAACAGCTTGATGGATTGTGGCCTTATGATGGTTACGCGCGGTATGAGCGAGTACTGGCGCGCTGCCTGTGCTGGTGGTTGTGCATGAGGTGCCTGTGGGGCCTGACGTGCCGGTCATTGACCGGGTGGGTTGGTCGAAGGCGTCGCCACCGGTGGTGGGATTGGTGGTTGCGCCAGCGTGTGTGTTGTTGGTGGCGTTGGCACGGGGTGTTGTGGTGCGGCTGGGCAACAGGCTGCAATGAAGCCAGTACTCCATTCTCGGTGGTGCGTTAGACCTGTGCAGCGCTTTAGGTGGCACCAGTTGTTGCATGCGTTGCACCTAACCGATGTTGTGTTGCGTCTTATCAGGTTGGTGCAGACGCTGCAGAACCATCTGAAGGTTTCGCTTTTTGTACGGGCTGAGAATTTTACCTGAAATCCTACATACCTATGGTCAGAGAACGAGGGTGTACTAAGCACCTCCCAATTCTGTACTCTGATTCCCCCACTAGTGTGGAGTGTTATGTCAAGGACGTTCTTCGAGGTAGGGCCAATATAAGTTGGTTCCTCACCCCGGTTAGCTATATCTAAATTACTTATTAATATAAAGTTTAGTAAAGACTCACCCCTTTCGTTGGTATCTCCACTCCCCCATACTGTGTTGTGCGCATTGGCATCCGCGCCTATGATGAGTGGGCGTTTCGCCTTCTCGGCCTCTCCCACCAACCTCCGGAGCTCGTTTGGTGGCGCCTCCTCGTCGTGAGGCATGTAACAAGATGCAAGGAGTATTGTGTCATCCTTGCCATCCTTCACAGCTACCACCGTCAGATCATCTGAAGAGAAATTAAGATCAATATAAGAGTGTATACTTTTCTTTACCAGTATAGCTGTTCTTACCCTGTTTGTTGCACTCGGGATGTGCGTATAGTATGTTTGCGACTTTAGTCCAGCTACCACGTTTCCCGACGCTATCCATGGCTCGTGGACTAATGCCGCATCGTAGCCGATCCTCTCTAAATTGAGGAGGAGCTCGGCAGAGGCGACCTTGCTTTTATGCAGATTTATTTGAAGAACCTTCAGGATTCTTTTCGGGGTCGGGTAGAATCTCCGGATCACCCTTCTCGGTCTCCTGGAGCTTCAAGGTGGCCTCCAGGATCTCTCCCAGATCCTTCTCGACCTCTCGCTCCTCCAGTGTGTTAGCATTGTTATCGGCCAGGCTTCGCTTCTTCAGGCGAAGGTATACGCTACCTATGCCCCACGCCATATTCCCGAACCTAGCGTACAGTATGTCTTCGGCCGGCTTGTTGATTTATTTTATTTTATTTATTTATTTATTACGATCTTGAAGATCTAGATAATTTAATAAGGTACAAAGTATTTTTAATGTTTACATATTTGTTTCGATTCTTTAAATTTCTTCGACTTCAATTATCTAATAATCTATAAAATTATTTACTAAAAATTTTTAACTACTTGATAGGTAGCGCTTTACAGTAGCTGTATAATAATTTTTTAAATTTTTTGGTATTATTGCAGTTTTTAATATCAATTGGCAGATCATTATATTCTCTAATTCCATCGTAGTATATACTTTTTTTATCGAATTCGGATCTCACTACCGGCAAGTAAAAGTTGTTATTGTGTCTTGTTTGATAGCTATGGACCTCTCTATTTAGTCTGACACGTTCACTTAGGTAATTCGGCAGGTTTCCCAACTTTATGTTGTGTATAAACTTCAATGTGTAGTAAGTCATGTTCTGTTTTACACTAAGCCAGTTTAAGCTGTCAAGTAAATCTTTAATTGGGGTATCATACCGTTTTCTTAATATGAAACGCATAATTTTGTTTTGCTTAATTTGTAGCCTGGATATTTGCGAATCAGCTAATGCGAATAGAATTGTAGGGCAGTAAATGAAATGCGGCTCGATAATGGATCTATAGACCAGTATTTTGTATTGCTTACTAATATGCTTGCATGATCGAAACATGAACCCTATTTTTTTGGAAATTTTCCCTTCAATGTATTTTAGATGTTCATCCAATTTTAATTTGTCATCTATAATTATTCCCAGATATTTTATTCGGTTTACTCTTTCTATAGGGGTATTTGCTATTTTTAGCGACACAGTATCATCTTGAGTCACTCTAGACCCCATTATCATCCATTTTGTCTTTTCTATGTTTATTTTAAGCATATTTTGGCACAACCACTTATATATTGCCTGTAGGTCCGACTGTATTTTTGAGGCTGCCTCATCAATCGTGTTACAGCTTATAGTCAAAAGTGCATCATCAGCGAATAATCTTATTTTGCAGTATTTGATACAGTTTTTAATATCATTTATGTAAATTATAAAAAGAATTGCTGCAAGCACCGATCCCTGTGGCAATCCTATTTCAATGTCCACTTCGGGGGAAGTCTTACTTCTTATTACAGTTTTCTGTTTTCTTCCACTAAGGTAACTTTTGAACCAGTTAAGCGCTATATTTCTAATGCCAATATTATACAGTTTTTTTATAAGAATATCTCTGTCTACTGTTTCGAACGCTCTTTTTAGGTCGAGGAAAACTGAAATTGTAAATTGTTTCTTCGTTCTACTTTCTTTCCATTCTGCAACTACCAGGTTAAGTGCAGTTTCACACGAGTGTTTTGATCTAAACCCTGACTGCTCATTTATAATAATTTCGTATTTATTTAAGTAATCCAGCAATTGGTTCTTAACTACAGTTTCTATTATTTTCTCATCGCTAGGTAAGGTATTTATGGGTCGTATCTCCTCTGGCTTAATTGTTCCCTTTACTTTTTCAACAGGTACAATTACTGATGTCTTCCAGCAATCTGGAAATACACCAAATTGGAAACTTTCATTAATTACACATGTGTAGGTATAGCCTAAGTACTCCATGCTGTCTTTTAATACACCTTCCGTTACTAATTTTTTTCCTCCGTATTTGTTTTTTAATTTCGTTGTAACTCTCATAAGTTCTTCAACATCTATTTCTTTCAGTTTAAACAAGCTTCTGTTTATCTCCATTTGATTTCCACCTGCTTCGAAGATTTCAATGCTATCTCGGATTCTGCTTATGCTCTCACTAAAGTAACGGTTTAATTCAGTTGCTATTTCATAATCATCTTCAATAAGAGCACCATTTACAGAAATTTTTTGAATTTGTGCTACCTCACTACTCAGATTTATGGCGTCTTTTAACATTTCCACATTAACTTTTGGTTATTAGTATTTCTTGAGATTTCGTTTTCCATAAATGTTTTCTTTTTTATTTTAACTGCTTTTTTGTAATATCGTTTTATTATAATATAGTTATCCCAATTATTGGATCTCTCTGCTATTTTAAATTGTTCATATTTCAGCTTATTCAATTCTGTTAGTTCATGGTCGTACCATTTATTAATCAATTTAACTTGAACTCGTTTTTTATATGTTAAAGTGGCCATTACGTCATTGAGGATACTGTTTATTCCTTGGACCTTTAGGCTAACTTCGCAGTTGTTTAGTTCAGCAAATTGTAAGTTCTAAGGAGATTTACTAAGTGGTCTTTTGTATAGTTATTCCAACACACGCGGTTTTCATAAATTCTCATTTGGTACTTCCTTTGAATTGGTAGTTTGAATGAAATAGTTTCATGATCTGATATTTTATGCGAAGCCAAATTCGATACTTCAACTTCAGTTTTGTTACTAAAGAGTAGATCTATTCTCGTTTGCGTTGTTTCTGTTATTCTTGTATTAAAATTAATTAATTGATACATTGCTAGTGATTCGAACGTCCTAATTAGCTGGCTCGAGTATGTTGTGTGTGTATTGACATTTATATTAAAGTCGCCAATAACGATATTGTTGCCGCTTTCAGAAAAGCAATCTTCCATCACCTCATTAATATGTCTTATAAATTCGGCATCACTGGTGTTTGGTGAGTGATATAACGCACAAATCCGCCACTTAGTTATACATCGTATTGTTTCCAACACAATACACCATATATTATTACCTATGCTCCTATTGAATATAACTTTGAAATCAATTTGCTTATGAATATAGGTTAAGACACCACCGGTGTGACGACTATGCGAGTCGCATCTAATATGATTGAACCCAGCAATCTCCAGTTCCGAGTCATATACATCCTCCGTAGTATGTGTTTCTGCACAAAGTACAATATCTGGATTTTCTTCCTCGATCATTATTTCAACTTCATTTTTGTTAGCTGTGATACTATTTGTATTAAGATATATACATTTTAGTTTATTTTTGTGTTTCTTGAATTTTTCATTATATATTTTTTGTGTGTTTTCTGCATCTTCATTTAGTTGCTAATAACCTAATTTTTGTTTTTTTATCTCTAGTTTATTATTGTAGCATTGACAGTGCCTGTCAAATGTATCATGATTTATGTCTAAAGCTAGGTTTAATTTTGTGTTCGCTTTTATGCAATTTAGACACTTGTTAATTGGATTTTTTTCACATGTTTTATCGTTGTGTTTTCCGTGGCATTTGTGGCAAGCTTCTTCGTTTTTACAGTCGGCTGATTTATGATTAAATCCTTTGCATTTGTAGCACATTAGTACATTAATAGCATCGAAGACTTTACATCTATCCCACCCGACATTTATTCGCTCTGCGGCAAGAATTTTTGTAAAATCCTCTTTATCTATTTCGATGATTGCATTATACACCTTTATGTTGCCTCGATTTCTTTCAAACTGCTTCAATACTTTTAATGAGCCTTGGATCAGATTATTATTTTGCTTCCTTATTGATTCTATTAAATCGCTATTTTCGTATTTAAAATTCATTCCTGCAATTAAGAAGCTTGGACGAATTGAGTTTGGCACTTTTATTTCATATTCTTTGCCAATGTTTTTTTCAATGGCATCTTTGATTTTTTCGCGTTCATCATTATTTTGACTATGAATCACCATTACACCATTATTTTTTGATACAATTTTCGAAATATTCAAATTTTTGGGATCAACTTTGCTGTTCAGATCTATTTTCGTTTTTTCAACCGCTTGCTTTACTTTGGGTTTCACAATTATTGCAACATCGTTTTTTAACTCTGGCAATGCCTTTTTCTTTATATTGTTTTTAATAGTTTCTGCATATGACATTTGTAGTTCATTAGTGTTGTTGTTCAGCTTTTTGATTTCACTATGCACCTTTTCGTTGTCTTTGCCGATTGTTTCAGTTTTGTTTTTTACTTCTTCAACCATTTCATATAAGTTTTTTACTTCTCCAATTTTTTTTTCAAATAATTTCTGAGATTTTTCCATCATTGCAACACGTTGTGTATACCGCGTTTCAACTGCTTCCAATAGTGACTTTATCTCATTTTGACTTTTTTTCATAGTTTCTTCGAATTCGCTCTTGTATTCGTTTAATATAGAGTTATTTTTTTTTACACTCATCTGCATATCTTGTAGCACCAGGTCGACGTTTTGTATGTATGTTATACATTCGTCACACATAAATCGTATCAGGTTGTTTTTCTCACCAATAATTTTTGCGCTATATTTATCAACTCCTGAACATTGTAGGCTCTCATGGTACACTTTACCACACACTCCTTCACATGCTATACCACTTTCCCCTCTTATTGTGGAATTGCATTTTGCACACACACCCATTTTTTCCGTTTATTTATCTGTGTATATGATCTATGTTTATATTTTGTATAAATGTGAAAAACTTATTTTCAATATAAAATAGTTAGTTTTGGAATTTTGTTCACTTTATTTGTAATTAATAAAACATAAATTCGCTTATTGAGTCTCTATCTCGCATATTTAGCGATTTTTAACACTTGGCTATGGTCGCTTTGCCATTTTTGCAATACAAAGTTTTCCGAGCAGAGCCAAACACGTCTAAACACCTCAGTCGCTCACGTATATATTTGGATTTGGAGGATGTAATTTTGGCTGCCATCCTCCTTACAGGAGTTGGTGACCTTTAACACCCTCCAATCTCCCGTCGGCACGTCTGGGTTCTGTCTCTGCAGAAGCCGCAGCGCATTCTCCGGTTTTACCGTGCGGGGTATGAGCACCTTCGCTTTCGGTATGGATGGTATGCAGCTGCGGTCCACAACCTCCAAGACGGCGCCCTCCCACAGGCCTTGAAGCGTCGCAACAGCTTCCTTTACCCATAGTAGAGAGGGATCGTCCTTACATCTTATTATTTTCACCCCATTTAGCCACCCCGCACCATCGAAAGTTGGCATGGTCGTGGTGGGGTCCCCATCCATTTTTGCGACGAGCGCATCCAGCAGCTTATGCTCTACTGCTCCCCAGCGCTCCTGAGAGATTTGTCCCAACGGATTGCTCCGGTCTATGAGTGCCACGATAAGGTGTCTTCTGGCTATCTCACTGGCCATTGCCGCCGCTCTCGATGTAGTCGGTTTCTCTAGATCGAGCCTGACGTTTGGCTTTGCAGCGTCGTCTCTGCGCCTCGATTTTTTGGCTGGCCTTGCTGTCTCGCTTTCAGCAGACCGCTGCCTTTTAGCCGCGATTCCTTCCTCTATCCGGTTAACGAATCCCGGATCCGTGGCAGTGAATCGTGGCCTTGCCGCGTAGTACGCCCGGCCTTCCTCCATTTTCTCCTTAGCCCAAGCCAACCTTTCCTCCTCTTCCTTCGTCCGGTTGGACTTGCAGCTAAGTCTCTCGTGGACTTTGACCGCCGCCTTGTATATGGCTTTAGCCTTCAACCCCTCCTTACTGGGTTTTGCCCTAGGCCTTTTCTTTGATGCCGAACAAGCACCTTTGGCATCCCCCGGAGAGCGTAGCAAGGCCTCCTCTTCTTGTGTGTTAACGCTCTCACCGCTTTAGAGGTCCGAGTCTGCGTGGACTGTGGCACCCCTGCGCTGTAGCGTCGCTTTGGCGGTAACACTACAACCGCTGTGAACCGCTCGCTTCACAGCGGAGGTGTGGCCACTGGCGACACAGCAAGTAGACTCGCTGTGCCCGCCGGTGGTAGTAGCCACTTCTCCCACCGACGTTTGGGCGGATATCCCAGACCACCCGTAATGTTGGGCATTACGATCATAAAAATAGCCATTGATGCGATTCATGAAACATTGCAAAGTGGCATTTTTGGTGAAATGGCAACTTTGCGAACAAAATTGTATGAACGACCTATCGCAACTCCGGATTGCAAATGTAAATTTTTTTCAAAATGCTACACATAAGTGAAAAAGAAACGTGTTTACCATTACATACANACTCCCACCGCCAAGACCCGCTCTAGGTACTAGCCTAGGTGCTCAGCCATCGCGGTGACAGCAGCGACGCCCATTGCCCAGTCGGCACCCGCGGGGAGGATTTAGCTAAGAGGATTTTTGCCGACCAAAATAAAACTTAAAACGTAACCATTATTTTCCGAGCAAGAAATAAAACTTAAAACGTATCGATTATTTTCCGAGCAAAAAATTAAACTTACAACGTAACGATTATTTTCCGAGCAAAAAATAAAACTCAAAACATAAGGATTATTTTCTGAGTAAAAAATAAAACTCAAAATGTAATGATTAAACTTGATTTTTATAAGTAAAAATTAAAAAATAAAAATCAGTGCCGTTGAAGGTATTCGGAGTAATAAGAAATATTTTGGTAAATAATAATAATAATTTTGGTAAATAAAAATAATTAAATAAACTAAACCAAAACTAAACTAAAACTTTTTTATTTTTCAGTTAATGTGCAAGCAATCATATTTGAATAACACAAAATAAAATTACGTTTAAATTTTAAACAGATGCGTTATTCGATTTATTATGTTAATGCCTTTTTACCATACATTTTTGGAACTGCTTTTTAAAATGTTTAGTTGGAATTTCATACAATATAAGTGCGTTTGAGCTAGCAATCTAAGCCGAAGGCAGGAAGGGTGAAATGGCGTCTGTGGTTGCAAGCTCAGAGGTACCACAAATTTCCTATTAAGTTTTATCAAAAATTTAACCAACAGAAGAGTCTTCTTTAACACTTCAGTCTTTATCGCACAAGTTACTGTCATTCCTATCGAAATAGATCCTAATTGCTGTATCGCTTTGTAACATAAAGACGTGACGTCTTGGTGGAACAGTTCTTCCCGAGAGCGGATAAGAATTCGAAAAAATAGCGATTACATCGGCGATGATTTTCACAGAAATGTCGTGTCGAATTAGTAACTTCCGAAATATAAAATGCTGGTAGGGCATATGTACATATGCATGTATGACAGTGGTATTTTACGTCTACATTTACACAATTATATGCAATTATATCAAACTATAAGAAATTTGGAGTAAAATAAATATTTATTATTAACAATAACGCAGCTTTTTTTGCATTATTTTTAAGATTCAGTGATTTTAACTTTTGTTTCGACAGCATAAACTCATAGTGGTCATAGGCAATAATCGCCTATGTCGAAAAACCTGAATTCGAGAAAAATCGCTTTAAAGATTTGGATTGTAATGTTAACCTTATGGGGAAACCAAAATAATTTCATCTATAACTTTTTAAATAGCTTAGCTAACGAAATGGGAGTTTCACATAAACATAGAATAGTAGTTGCAGAAAACGATAGCATATATAACTCAATTCTTTCTTAAGTCGACTTAGGCGGTTATTGCTTATGACCACAGAATTAATTTTACTAATAGGCGGCATACGCGGTGCGTCTGACTCGCGAGTCGGTTTGGATATATCTGTGAAAATAATTATGAGTTACCCTGCAGGATTTCGGAATAGACTTAGAGCACACCACAAACTAGACTGCAAGTGATTGTAAGTTGTCCAAAGCTTGGTCCAAGAACATGTAAAATTCTATTTACATTTAAAATTGAATATCCTAGGCTCGGACCAATTGTCCGCTTCTGCATTACATTGTAACCAATTTTGGGGTGGAAAAAAAACAAAATAAAACTTGCGGGTGCTGCGATTCGAACCGGGGCTCTCAGATTTTCTAAGCGGATACTGGCAACGCCGCAGATGAAAATTCGTTGACTAAGTGCCCACATATCAGTAAATCGTTCATCATACCCATTGTCCGCTACTGCGTGACATTGTAACCAATTTTAGAACAAAACTCATACCTTATGCAATACATTCGGACCACTTTTAGTACAATTCACCTGTTTTACATTACATTGCTTAAAATTTTTGGACTATCTTTGGTCTAGATACAAAACTACCATACCTACGACTATATTTTTCGTGCGATTGGACCAATCTTTCCTTCAGGGTAGTTACACCGACATAACTCCTGGAATGACTCTGAATGGTTTAAGTGTGTGTAGTCGAAGGCGAGTTAACACGCACATACATCCAAACCGACTCGCAAGCCAGACCCGTATATGCCGCCTATTACAAATTTAATATTTGTATGAAAATGGCACTTTATAAAGCTCTATTTTTTGTGAATAAGGTAATAAATATATAAGTTTTGTACTAATTTTTATTTCACGGAGATATCGCATGAGACTGTACATATTCTTATTTTTAATCATCTCTCGTTTCGCAATGGTAATGATATAACAACTTCACCTACCAATCGTGCTTCATTCGCATCATTTGCAACAATTATACGCTGATCTTGTTCGTTAGTCATAGAAACTATTTCATAGCAAGTGCTGTCTTGAGTTACATCGGATGCTCCCAACGGATGTGGCGATAAAATCTGTTTAGTTACTTCGAGGCTTTCTATTCGCAATGTCTCTAACAGGTAAAAGCCGTTTTCGTCTATGCGGTATGTAAATCTTTTGTGTCCAGAAGGAAGTTTGAAGTCATGCTTTTTTATTAAGTGCTCTGACAAATATTTGCTATGTTTAAACAATTTATCGCAGCAATGACACATATATATGAATGGTCTGTTTCCATGAACCTCCAAACAATGCTGAAATGTAAAATGATTTACAAATTACAAATTCATAATTTAAACAAACTTTGTATTACCCTTCTTAACAAGTTGTAAGTACGAACGGCATAATTGCACCCAGCTTGCTGACAGCGATGAACTTTATTACTGTGAATATGTTCCATATGTTTTTCGAGATCGCATTTGCGAACGCAACGATGTTCACATTCAGTGCACTTAAAAGGCTTGTCTTTAAGATGACGATAACGTATATGCCTCGCTAAAGAGCTTGAAGATGGACAGGACATATTACAGAGGCTGCACTTATAGCAATTTACGTGCTTAAGGAAATGTGACCGCAATAATTTTTCCGTGGCAAAATATTTAAAGCACTGGTCGCATTGAAATTTATTTGCTTTGAATTTATAAAGAAATTAGAGTCAATACTTTACGATTCAAATTTTAGTGCACTTACTGTTATTCTCTGGTTGCCTTCGTAGATGGTCAAATAGCGTAGTTCTAGTCCGGAAAACTTCACCACAATTAAAACAGGCCACAAACTTTTTGTTAGAATGAGTAAGAATATGCTCAATTAATCTGTATTTATTTTCCAGTATCTTTCGGCATATACTCCACTTACATTGCACCTTGGGCCTGGTATCATTTGGCGACTTCTGAATTTCGTATTCAAATGATGCATGCTGAATAATGTGATCTTGAAACTCAACTATAGATACAAATGTGCGTTGACAATCCATCCACTCACATGTAAAGTCGTTTTTTAATTCAGGTATCTTGTCACATTCTCTTGCGCGTGTACTGCATTTGGGCATAGTGGGATTTTGTTCACATTCATATTTTCCTCTTACTAAAAGCGCAGTGTAGTACCCATGATAATAAATATGCCGCTTGATTTCAACATAATCACTGGTTTTGAAACTACATTCATTCCATTGACAATCAAGAACTTCACTGCCTTCTTGATCGAATTCCTCCAAATGATTTTCAATATGTCCGTTCAATTTCCAATCGTCATCGAATAATTCATTACATTCTTTCCACCGACAAGAAACAGGAGGAATATTTTGTCTGATCTTTTTCCTCGAGTACATTTCGATTTCGTGTAATTTAGAAATCAAATTTTGGTTTTTTTCAATGTTGGCTGAAATTTCTCGATTTTTATCGATAAAAGTATTTGAACCGCGGTTGCCACTCAGTCTTTTTTTGAGACTAGCCAATTATGAGCGTGTCAGACGCGGCAATATTTCCAGTTTTCCAAAGCAATTCGCGGTCAAATTGAGAAAAAGAAATTTTATTTCGATGTGTGAACAGCCCGAAAGACCTTTCGGGAAAATTTTCCAATACGGAACCCGGCTTTAAAAAAAAAACAAAAATTAGGGGGTTTAGATCGGCTTTTTGTGATTGTAACTCTGAAAACCCCACCCTCCGGAGGCTTATAGTTTTTATGAAAATTGAATTTTAAGTTGCAAAAAATGTCAACTTCAACCTCACTTATTGCTTTGTAAACCAATTGTACTACAATGTCTGTGCTGCCACACAACAAAAAATGCCCCAAAAAAAGCACTGAAAACGAGAAACAATAAAAACGGGCATTGTAATAAATTTTTTTTTTTTAATTAAATATCGATGTATTGATAAAAAAAAGTGATTCAGTCTAAAATCGAGAGATTTTGTAATAAAAATGTTAACTTAGTTATTTATCGAAGTTGTAGTGAATAATTGTAATACGTTTCATATCGTATAAAACATGGTATTATATCAATGATGTATACGTAGGTCGGTGTTATGCAGAAATTTTGTTTGGCAAACTGCGTGCAATTGTTGTTGCAGCAAACTCGGAGAGAGCGAGTTTGGCGACTCTCACAGCAAACTAATTTTGTTTGGTCAAACTGCAGCAAATTCGGTGTTGTCATATACAAAAATTTTAAATTTTGCGCGTTATGTACATCTGAAATTCTCATTTCGTGTTGGCAATAGCCATGAAAACCATAATGAACGTGCAACCCTGTGCCAAACTCGACATAACCACCTCCGAGCAAACTAAGCAGCCGCCATTTAATTTGGCAAACAAAAGTTTGTCTGCATAACACCGACCGTAGGTATGTAGGTGAGATGGCAACCATGTATTATATTAATTATGTATAATGTAATATGGCAACCATACAATACATGTAATGGAAACCAACTTCCGGTTTTTGGTACTTTTTAAGAAACACTGAACAGTGTACAACGTGCCTTAAATAAAATCCAACAAAATATAGTAAATCGATATACCGCATTACAATTCAGGTGTGGGGTTCGGGCAACCTAAAATTTTTTGTTGGAAAGCGACTCGTATTTTGACAGTTTTTCTAATAAATCATATACGATGATGTAATCGCTGGTCGTGCCGTGAACAGAAGTGAAGAAACAGATGCATATGCTCAGCTGAACGTGTACAATAATGTGCCAGAGATTGGTGAAAATAAATTATCAGAAGATGGTGATCGACGTGAACGTGAGAGAATGATTGAAGAGGAGGAGTATCTTGATCGCATGCTGGCAATTGCTAGGAAGAAACGCGAGCTAGCTGAGTTGCAGCAAGAGATTGGTCAAGTGGGCAGCGCAAGTTTGATTTAAGTATGCTGACAGCATTGATCAATAAATTTGAGGGGTCTGAGTCACAGGATATTAAAAAGTGGGTTGCTTAGCTGGAGCATGTGTTTGAAATCCTTCAGTGTAATGATCGTGAAAAACTGATTGCTGTTCGCCATTTGGTTTGTGGTCACGCAAGACGATTCATTGACATAATTTCGGTGCGCTCATATGAGGACATAAAAGCTGCATTGTTAGATGAGTTTCAATGTAAATTTTCGCTGCAAGATATCTTCAACCAATTAAAATCACGTTGCATCAAATCGGGAGAAACGCCACGCCAGTATTCAACTGAAATGCAATATATTGCTAGTCGAGCCGATATTCCAGAGACCGATTTAGTCGATATTATAATAGAAGGACTAAATGATAAAACGTCTACAGTATCAATGTTGTATGGCGCGTCGTCTATTCGGGAACTTAAAGTGTTGATGGAACGATACGAGAGAAAGAGGAAAACCATAAAAACACAGAAAAGTATTGCGTCAGAAGTCAAGCAAGGTCAGGCTGATATTAACAGTGTGCGCTGCTTCAATTGCTTTCAATACGGTCATTACCAAGATGCATGTACAGCTCCGAGACGACAACCAAATTCGTGTTTCGTATGTGCTGAGGTTGGGCATACTCGCCATAATTGCCCTCGTCGTGGTGGATCAAACAATTCAAAGGTGGCAGCTGCAGTTGGAGATGATGAGGAACCCGAACGATGCCAGATAGCTGAACGTTTAGCTCCTAATAATTTGGTAAGTATTGCTTTCCATCAAAGGGAGAAGTGCACTGACTTGATTTATTTCTTGGCTTTGTTTGACACGGGCAGTCCTATCAGTTTCATTAGAAGATCATGTGTGCCCGCAACGGTTGAAGTAAATGTTGATTGGAAACTATTGTGCTACCGTGGAATGGGTAATAAGCGATTGAATGTATGTGGTATTGTTACTTGTAAATTCGTGTTTCGTAGGCATGAATTAATACATAAATTTTTTGTTTTGCCAGATTCTGAGGCTGTGGTGCCGTTGTTGGTGGGGCGTGATCTTTTGGGAAGGATGGGAGTTGGTTTGTGTCAGATAGAGACAATTAGATATAAGAAATATGATCTGTTGAAAATGAATGATCAAAATAAAATTTCTATAGCGGACAATGTCATAAGTGCCCTTCGACTTTTTGATNCATGTGGCATTGTTACTTGTAAATTCGTGTTTCGTAGGCATGAATTAATACATACATTTTTTGTTTTGCCAGATTCTGAGGCTGTGGTGCCGTTGTTGGTGGGGCGTGATCTTTTGGGAAGGATGGGAGTTGGTTTGTGTCAGATAGAGACAATTAGATATAAGAAATATGATCTGTTGAAAATGAATGATCAAAATAAAATTTCTATAGCGGACAATGTCATAAGTGCCCTTCGACTTTTTGATATATGTAAATATCCGTCAAGTAATTCTGACGCTGCTCCTTTCCTTGCATTCGACCAACAACAACTCGAGTGCAAATAACCTAAACGCTGTGAATGCGTAATGGGCTGTTTTTGCTTACGCGTAAAAGCACATTTAGCATATTTAGCTCTAAATGCTACTTTACATGTAAATTTCCATACAAAATTTGTCACCTAAATGCAAATAAATGCAACCCCATTTCTGCATTAAGAGTCTTAAGTGCTAAAAGTAAACCCTGTGGTCTTCAAAAATTTCCACGATTCGAACAGGGTTTAATGAGAAAAACTGGCAATATTGCTTTTTCGCGTATACAGTTGCTAGCTGCCTTTCAGTGATCGCTGATCGAGATTTAATTTATTATTTTACATTATTTGAAAAAAGAAAAGTTGCGCAAATTCAACATCCATGTGATACTGATAGAAATCTGGCTCAATTTGTGTGTGTTTGTTTTTTTTTCCTATTTTATTGAGGAAATTTCAATTGACAGCACCGGCAAATGAATATATGCACAAACAAATTAAATGTTGAGGGACAGCAAAAACGCTGCATAAGAATATATATGATGGCTGCGGAATTCAATGCCAGAAAAACAGCTGCTAATATTTCTTACAACAATAACTACTATTGTTCCTCGCCTGGTGTTTTTGAGTTTTCCGCTGTCCCTCATCCATTTAATTCGCCACGGGCACAGTTTGGGAGTAACGTTAACGGTATCTCTCCCGCTCGTTTGGATAGATAATTATGAGCTATGCACTGCGACCTGATGATCTATTGTGGATCTGTTTGGATTCTGCTGTGCCAATTGCTACAGCTGTCAATACGCTTGTAACAAACGATAGCACATATACCTCTGTTACTGCGCCTACATCGCTGCCATCTGTTGCTCTTCAATCTACACCTGCTGTCTCTCTTAGCACTGCTTCTACTAAACCATCTTGCTCGTCGTTCGCTGATGTTGTTTTGTTGTCTAATACTAATGCTAATACTAATATTAATACTAATACTAGTTCGAATGGCTCTAATACTGTGCGTCAAGTTGGTGGCCTCATGGATACAAATACTGTCGCAGATTGCACTGCCAATTTACCTGCTGTTACTACTACCACGACGAAGCCATCAACCCCATGTACTGCTAATGCTGTTGTTGCTGCTAATACATCTTTACTCGATATGAGCTGCGCTGCCGCTGCTGGTACTAATTCTGTGCAATCTAATGGCGATCGCTCTGTTGGGTCTGCTGTTGGTGCTGTTTTGCGAAAATCAACACCGATGATTCTCATAATTCTGCTGCTGCTGAATCTTCATCTGTCAAGCCGGATGCTGTTAGTACAATGTCAACTACAAGTGGTATGAATGTAGCACATGGCAACATACATAAACGAAGTGCTGATAAATCGGATGATGCTATTGCGGCCCCTAATGAAGATGATGGCGATTGGGCTGTTGCCCGAAATTTAAATAGGCCCAAACGCATAAACATTGTTCATGNATGTGCAATCTAATGGCGATCGCTCTGTTGGGTCTGCTGTTGCCCGAAATTTAAATAGGCCCAAACGCATAAACATTGTTCATGGGCGTAATAATAATACAGATCTTGAGGTGGTCATTAAGAAGAAATGGTTGCACATTTCTTCCTTTAAACCATCTGTATCTGAGGAAAACCTTATTGCGTATGTATCTAAACATGCAAAGATCGATAGTACACACCTTACGTGCTACAAATTAGTAAAAAAAGGAACTCCACTTGACAGTCTTCGGAGCGTGAACTTTAAGATTGGTGTGACATCTTCCTTCTACAACAACATCTTAAATCCAAATGTCTGATATCATTGTGCGGCCCTTTCGATTTTTTCAACCAGAAGCTAACCAAGGAAGTTCCAAATAGTGCTATACGGTCTAATGCTGAATATACATGCAAAAATCTGAATATATACTGCATAATTACTCCGAACTGTTATCCTGATATGCATCATAATCCCCTTATCATTTCTTTAGAGTTTTTTGATAAGCTTTGCTTAAGGCAAAATAATAGGATTTCCTAAAATTTTCGTGATGCAAATTACGACGTCTTAAAGCTGGCTATAAAGGACGTAAATTGGTGTTATCTTCAATTCAAAAGATGTGAATGCCTCTTATGAAACCTTTCTTTGCATTATGTCTGAAGTCTTCTCTGAGCAACTGGCTACTTTACCCTCCAAGCCTTATAAATTACCCTGGTACTCTGTCACTCTAATCAATCTGAAAAATAAAAGAAATAAATGCTACAAGCGCCATATGGCAAATATACACAATACTCATCTCAAAGAGCAATACCTTAATAATGCGAAACAGTTTAATGTTCTTGATAAATTTCTTTATAACCGGTACATTAGGAGACTTGAATCTGAACTTAAAGACAACCCAAAAGCTTTTTGGAATTTCGTACGTTCTAAGCAGGGCAGTTCTAATATTCCGACTTGCATGTACTTTAACGGCCAATCTTCGAAATCTCTACCAGATACTGTGGAACTTTTTGCAAAATTTTTCTGCTCGAATTTCGCCTGTGAGAGCGATTCTATAAATTACTGGCCGACTCAACGCCTAGATCTTGCCTCGATGATTGTCTCGACATCTGACATTACTTACGCCATGTCTACCCAACTCCGACATGGAAATGTGATTCTGATGGTTTTTGTGCCCACTTCGTTAAACGATGTAGTCTGTCATTATGTATTCCTTTATGTCATATATTCAACCTATCACTTTCGACTGGATTATTTATTAACAGACATGGTTTTGTAGCTGGTCGTTCAACGGCCACTAATTTAGGTTCTTTTTCAGAATTTTGTGTTTCTTCCTTCAAAGATGGCTCGCAGGTAGATACCATTTATACGGACTTTTCTAAAGCCTTCGATAAGGTGCCGCACCTAACACTGCTACACAAGTTGGAGTGCATTGGCGTTCACTATAATTTCCTAGCATGGTTAAAGTCTTACCTTACAAATGGGACTCTGTCTGTGTATATCGATGATTGTAAATCAGTAGTCCAATTCACTAACTTTTAACGATACGATTTGTCGAGGTCTAATATAACGATTTTTGTGGTTTGCAGTAACGATTGTGTTATTCGGTAACTCTTTTTTAACGACACTATGTGCAGGGCCATGAAACTGTTGCTGAAAGTGTGCCAGTGGAAGAGGTAAAAAGCAAATAAATCGTTATGAATAGCACAGCATTTAACAATTCTTCCCATCATTAGGAACTCCAACTTCGTATGGAAGAAGGTGATGAAAGTGTCATCATCGAGATGCCATCTATTTCCCACGAAGTGAGCATTGAGATGTGCACATCGACTCCTGTAACTCCTGCAGGAAAAACGCCTCGTAGAGGTGCAAAAAGAAGGCGTGTGGACGTTGGTACCGAGGCCCAAAAAACGTTTTTGGAAATTGCTCAGACCCAAGCAAATGCCTTAAAAGTAATTTACATATTTGTAACTTTACATAAGTAAAATTTTATGACATAATTTTTTCGGTTATTTTTCAACAGATGCTAGCAGAGTCGAGTGCAGCGAATGTACAAATAGCAAGTAGACAAGCAGATGCTTTGAAGGTAATTTTTTGTACATACTAAAAAAATAGTATTACATTCGTATGTTCTTTCAACAGTTGTTAGCTGAAACAAGTACGGCGAGTGTGCAGGTAGCGAAATCGTTGGCCGAAGCTATGAACACAATGGGTCAAGGTTTAAAGGCATGTGCGGATATGCCTTTAATAATTTAACAAACGCTATCCACGGTGCAGCGAACAAAGGTGGCGCCGTCAGTTGTACCGCTACTTTGGTTTTGCCGATTTTGACAGTTGTGGTAACTTGTAAATAAACCTTTGTTTACAAATCAGCGAAAGAGAAATTTGAATTATAAGTGAAAAATCAGTTTAAATCGTGTTAATTTGCAATTTGTGAGTTATTTTTGAGTTGAAGACTGCGTAAAAACTAATACAATGAAGTGCTGTGTGTTAAATTGCGACAACCGTCAAGATGCAAGAAGCGTAGATGCAAGTGTAGCGCTGGGAAGAATCGCTGCATTTTGTGTACATAGGGCACGGCAAAGCCGTTCCCGAAATGTTTCTCTATTATTATATTAACAGCATTTCCTTACAATGATTTTGTTTCTGCTCCACGCAGCCTCCATTAGCAAGTTAACTAATCAGTCCCGCAGAGATGCTGCTGCAGTTTTCTGCAGCAGCCTTAATTGCAAAGCAATGGAGTGTACTAAAACGTTTGCTGAAGCAGCCTCTATTGCAAAGCAATGGATTGCACTACAATGTTCACTGTTCACTAATAGATTAGGTGAAAAATGCAATATTTTTGCATTTAGCAAAATTAAAACACGTTTTTCGCAGTAAAGTGAACTGCTTTGGCTGTTTCAACTCGTTCTTCTTTTCGCTCTATTCTTTGTTTACTTGTGGTACACAAATGTCAACGCCCAGGACGGCGCAATCTTGTATTCTATCATTTTTGAACGCTATCTACCGCATGTAAATAATGTGTAAATATGTAGTTTTTGAAGTAATTTTTTGTTTTAATATTTATGTTAGTTTTAAGCGTTTTAAATGTAAGATGAAGTTCTTTTTTGTTTTTATATTTATGTTAGAGTTAAGTTTTCATTTGATATAACATGAAGTTCCTTTTTTTGAATTTATGTTAGAGTTAAGTTTTAATTCGACATAGCATGAAGTTAACTTTTTACATTTAGAATAACTGTTTAAGATATTCGAAGAAGAATTTTTACAAATTTGAATTGATCTTTATTTGTTTTTAATAAGCGAGTTATTTGAAGTTCTGTTGATTTTCAAATGAATTCAATGTTTACAAATTTAGTTGATAGAGAGGTATACGGTCTTACTGCATGTAAGATATACCACATATATTTCTTATATACAATAAGTAATGAAATTTCATTTTGTGAATTCATGTTTTAATTTTGTGATGCGCCTGTAACTTGAACGTGCTTTTAGGTGGTGTTTCAATCCACGCCATATCATATTATAGAAACCGATCTGTGATTACATACTGAGATCTGTCTTTTGATGGACCCTATATTTAATGAATATTTACATATATAATTATAGACTTAAAAAAAGTGTACTCAAATTAAAGACAAAATAAGACTGAAGTTATTGATACAAGAGTTTTTATTTACATACAAATGTTTAATAAAATGCCAAAATAATTTTATTGTATTCCTTCTGAATTTTTATTTATCAACGTTTTATTAATGTAAAATAATTTGCAATTAGCCGGTCTTGGACGCGTTTTGCTGTTGAAGACGGCGCGTCTTGATTAACATTACTGCTATGTGTCCTTGGCTCTAGGAACTCAGTCTGGGGATCTTATGTTTGGTCACCCAATCGCAAGTTATGCAACACTGCGTACTACTTTTCCAGTAAATCCAGGATCATAAAAAAGACTCCTTTGCTGAGATAAGCATCGCCAAGTTCCTTTGAGAACGCCAAAAAGTCTCTCGACTGGGTTTCGAGCTTTGCATAATGCCTCATTGTAGCGGAATTTAGGACTCCCTTCTGGTTGGTTAGGTAGAGGAGTCATCAATCACGGGTCCAAGGGATATCCTGAGTCACTTGCAAATATATATTCGAAATTTTCAATTAAATTGATTTTAATAAATAAGTTTCAGTGGATTTAAAAAGTTACCAATGAAAAACATGTTATGGTTTCCATTTTCAAAACTTCGCTGCATAACTCTCCGGACTGCAGAGGAGCTCCAAATAAATTAATCGTCTCGCGCTCCTGGGTATTTAGCATTGACAGCCAAAATCTTTAGATTTGGATCACATATCTTTGTATAAAATAAAATTAATTCTCAGTAGTTTAACCCGTGAGCAAATTTTACTCTTACCATTTCCACATTGATAGAATGGTATCCATGGTGGTTAACATACGCTTCTTCATGATGTTTTGGGCTCATGATTGACACATGAGTGCAATCGATAGCCCCAATAGTACCTCCTACAAATAGTGCGGATGCTGAAGCGAAAATTTCTTTTGCAGCTTGCCGATCTATTTGGGTCATTGGAAACCTAACCTTTGCCAAAAACATGGTGCGGTTTATTGCATCCGTTACGCGATGTATACAGCGACTTACGGACGACTGGCTCATGGATATTCCCCATTGCTCTCCGACGGGACGTTGATAACAGCCAGTTGCGAAGAATCGCAAGGCAGTTAGAACCTTTAAAATTTACAAAAGCATTTAAAATTGAAAAATACTTGCAAATTACATTATTTACCTGTTTCTCTGTCGTTATCGCAGTTATTCTTCGACCCCTTAATTGGCTATCAACCTGGGAAACAATATCTTCAACCAAGTCTGGGGTTTATCGGTAAAGGTTACGAAACTCAGTTGCAGTCAAGTGGAAAGGGTTGGCCACTTCTCGAAGCAAATGTCTATCCACTGATGAATGGCTTATTATCTCCTCATCTTGGGATAAAACGTATGCCAAATACTCAAATGCCATTTTTAACAAAAAGTTTTTCTTTTATATATTACTTAAGTAAATTCGCGATCTATATTATTTTATTTTAACTCAAATGAAATATCAAATTTTCTTTTGTCGATGCCGCTAACAACTTCAAAATATTCGTCGTTAACTTAACGAGTATTCGAGTAGTTAACGACAACAGCTGATCAAGCGATAGCGAATATCGTTAAAATATGTTTAGCGAATTGTCAAATCGTTAAAATCGTCGTTAAGTTTTCTTAACGATTGGATAATCGTTAAAATAGAATGGCGAATCCCACTACAGGTGTACCCCAGGATAGCATTATTGGCCCCTTATTGTTGGTCTTGTTTATAAACGATATTAGCTCCTGTTTCAAACACTAGTTTTTTATTGTATGCCGATGATTTAAAACTCTTTCGTAGAATAACCTCCTCATCTGATGTTCTCTTTCTTCAGGAAAATTTAGACCGTCTTTTAAATTGGTGTATAATACACTGTCTTTGAATGTAAAAAAGTGCTTTAAGATGACCTTATCTAAATCTCAAAATATCCTTACTTCAAATTACTACCTCGTAAACCATCAGCTTACCTCTGTTAGTGAATTTGTGGATCTTGGTGTTGTGTTTGACTCGAATTTTTCATTTATAAATCATATTTGTCATTTACTTCCAAAAGTTTATAGTGATTTAGCATTTATTCGTAGATATGCCAAGGATTTTAGAGACCCTACACTCGGAAAGCATTATTTAATTCGTTAGCGTGATCTAAACTTGAGTATGCCTCTATTATATGGAGCCCTATTTATAATTGTCACGCTTCTAGGATTGAGCGAGTTCAAAATGTGTTTAACTTGTCTTAACTTCTCAGATCCAATTCCTTCACATTACTCCCGGTGTAAACTAATAAATTTGCTGTCGTTGGAAAATAGAAGGCGTACCCAATTACTCTTATTCGTCTTCGATCTTATCTCTGGCTCCATTGACTGCCCATCTCTTCTTGAGCAGGTTACCTTTAATGTGCCTCTCAGAACTCTTCGCTCTCGCATCCCCTTTTACGTTCCTGCCGTTAAGACTAACTACTAATTTTTTGCGCCTATTTTTCGAGGCCTTGTAGAATTTAACAATATCTCAGAGCTTAGATATCGACTTTTCGTTTCCAAGAAGTCTCTTTAAATCATCTCTCGAAACCTATTTTCGTAATTGTACACATACTAGTCACCTTTAATACTTTTTAGCCTATTTCTAGTCCGTAAGATTGTAAATCATAGACTGAATAAAGGTGAATAATAATTGGTAGGGTTCGAAATTTCAGACTTTGGTATCGATACTGAGTACTCAGACTGGCATCGAGCTTATGGTATCGATACTCTAAAAGTATCAGGGAAAAAGTATCGATACTACTCAGTATCGGATTCATTAAAATACGTTTTTTGGGATGCTAAAATTATTTTATTCTTCAATCGTATATCTAGTTATTTCCTGAAATTAAAATAATAGAAATTTAACATATTTGATTTTTATTTCATTGCAGAACTTACTTTCACGTTAGTATATATGTAATACTTCTATATTGGCAGTAAGCTAACTTCTCAATGTGTAAGCATTCCGAAATCAAAGCGAGACAGTCTAGTACCGTTTTTGTCAGTGTATTGTGTACTTGAGTGCGTTTTTGTATATGTGTTGTGTACATGTTTATTTATAAACGCATGTGTTCCTTTTCTTTCGTACGTGTTTATTGATATATCTGTACTATAGTATTTTCGGACGGTACTAGCTCTTACTGCCAATATAGGAGTATTACATATATGCGTTAGAAGTAATTTTAACGTTAAATGCACATACATACATACACACGCATATATATATATATATATATATATATATATATATATGTTTAGACGCGACTGCTAACACCAGGCGCCTAAATGCATGCTATGTACTGCTGCATGTGCAAAAATTTCCTTCATTAAATTAATGAAATTTATGTACATGCACTTCTCAACTGCCATGTAATAAAACTTTCTTAAGTTTTAATTTGATGGCAGTTCAAAGTATGCTCGGCCTAGTCTGATGCATCCTCCGGACACTGCTTCCGGAGTCTTCTGCGGACTCTGCATGGCTTACAACCATGCGGAGGTGGTAATAGTTTATTACCATTGGCCACAGTGCCTACCCACTACTTTTTGGTCCAATAAATATTTTTTTATATACATACATACATGCAAACATACTGGTCTCCCCTCTCACTGAGTTATTCAATA